CTCTTTCCTGCAAACTTTTTGGAAGCTTATCTCCAGCTGTACAGTAGAGATAGAGCTTTTGTTTAATGGAAATGAAGCGTATCTTTTTCTTACAGATGCACCACTCACTATTGAGCTTTTTATGTGCGTTTTAGGTTTCCCTTTTTATTTTTTAACTTATTAACTCTGACAAGTAACCTCTTGGTTGTGAACAATTTAATTCACAATTCATTTTTCTGATTCAAAGTGAACACGAGTGCCCTAATCCCCTAATGGGAATTAATTGCATGTTTCAGTGCTTAACTCTGATCCTTTCTCAATCCCCACTGGGACAAGTTTCTTCCTGAAGGATCTGTGTTTGTTATTCAAAACACAATCTGAAAGGTAATGATTTTTCTTATAAAAGGGAGTCAGACCAACTGAATATTAATGCTCTTTTTATTGTGAGGGAATGAACTCCATCCAAAAAAACTCGTTTGTGTCACGAAGGATAAATTACGCTGAAGTATATCTGATAAAATACAGGGGGAAAAATCAGCACGGTCTCTTTTTTCCTTAAGTGAAAGCTGTTTGCCAGTAAATAAAGGCACACACTGGTTTTGATTAGAAAACTCTGTGCTGTTACAGAGAAAAACTGTTTATTCCACCAAGAGGGAAAAAGTGCTTTGCTACTGATGGTTTTAAATGACACTCCTCTTGTCCAGCAACGTACCCCTTTGGATAACTGACATGACCTAACAGTCTACTAAAATAAGAGTAAATAGCAGCAAATACATTAAGTTTCTACCTCCCACCTTCTTTTAAAGATTTTTCAAACTTGAAATACATTGTTTAATGACCCTTCTTCCAAAAGGAGCTGCACATGCTCCCCTGATGGCGAGGAGCTGCCAGATGGCCGGGTTGGGTGACGGGGAGGGAGGCTCTGCCCAGTCAGTGACTGGGGGCAAAATGTGGGAAACCATCAAACAGGGCAGAACTGCTTATGCCCTACAGAAATGATGGGGGACAAACAGGACACAGCATGAAAAATAACCCAGCAACGATGAGGGTACCTCCACCCCACCTTCTTTCAGTAAAGCCGGCCTTTTCTCCCATTTAAACCAATTTTGAGTGGTTTTATGTTCACAGATAAATGGTGAACATCATCATTCAGGGTCTGTTTTCAAGAGAGGGCTAGCATGTCTGCAAATTGGCTACTTCGGGCAGAGGTGGCTTAGCCCTTTGGGGGGGTCTGGGGAAGACAGGAGCACGGCGGTACCTGGCCAGTTTGGTTAGCACTGAAATACCACATCCCCCACCCACCTACCCCCAAGGTAAATAAATGGAAATAACATTTGTACAGCTCCCACGGACAGGAAGGGTGAAGGTGCTTGTGAAGCCCACAGTGTCTGGCCTTAACAGCGCTGTAAATGAGGTTTGTCACCAAGGATTTCTCAGCAGCGCTGTGGAGAGCCATCGTGGTTCTTCTCCCCTGATGGAGGAGGACAGACGCGTCCTTTCAGCCAGCACCCACTGGCTTGGGCTGTGGGTGCTGGAGGCCACCCTGCTTCGTTCCCCCGAGCCGCAACGTGCTCTTCAGCATTTGTCAGTCAGTTGGCAAGCGGGACATCGGCACTGAGGTTACCAAAAACCCTTCAGCGTGGCCGTGAAATGACTCAACACCAGGTTAAACTTGCCCCGCCGGCATCCCTCATTTTGCTTGTAAGGTCTGGCGTGAAAACCTTTTCATCCCTCTCTGTGACAGACAGGTCCTCTGTTCGGCTTGGTGGTGTCCCAGTTTGTACGTCGTTAGCTTGCTACGGCTACGAGCATCGTGCAGCTTGCTTTTCTTTTCCCTTTTTTTTTAGTAAGACTGTGACCAAGCTGGTATTGCTATTTGGAAGAAGAAAAAATACCATCAAATGCATGCAGATGCAATGCAACATGACTCGAAGTTTGAATGCATTCATTTGCTTTCAGGTGACTAATGCCACTGTGCTTTATTTTCCCATGAAACAAGAAGCCACCCGAACTTCCAAACTGCAACCGGGCTCTTCTGTTACCGAATAAAAGGGTGTTTCTCAAGTCCTGAGTGCTGCCTCGGTGAAAGGAGGACCTGAGCAGAAGAAGGAGGGAAGGTGGTGCTGCCGCAGGGTGTGTTGGGCCCACCCTGAGGCGGCAATGCTGAGAGTCCCAGGTAGTGTGTGCCGAAGTCCATCAGTCCAGGCTTTAAAAAATACCACCACAAGGGAAAACAAACTGACTGTGGCTTCACTCCTGCAAGTTTTAATAACCAGGTTTGACCTGGGCTGGTTAAATCATAAATGCAGTAGAGCAGCATAGGACTGTCGGTTTAGCTGAGCTGAACCATATTTTTTTAATTATTATTGTTTTTCCCCTGTAAAGGATGTGCTAACTGGGCACTTTTCATCACTGGGATGGCTCCTATAATGGTGAGAGAGAAAACAAAAAATAATGAAGAAAGGCTCTGCACTTTTCCAAAGGCTCAGGGATGCATTGGTTGATGTTGTGGATTCCTTAGGGAAGCCACAGGATGTAATTTGATTACAGCAAAGAACTGCAAGGGTGGCTCTCTCCTGGCGCCTGTTTTTCACTGTTACAGTTTTTGACTGAAAAGTTTAAAGCCATATTAGACTTCAGTACGATATTTAAACGAGGTGTAGGACTGTGAGACCACTTTTGCATGCGCCTGAAGGGTCTTGCGTGTGCACAACGCGTCTTGGCGTGGGTGCGGTTCTCCCGCGCGGTGGCCAAAGCAGCCACGTGGGTAACGTAGACCTCTGTCTTTCAGCTGCTTTTGCAGGTACGATGGCTCGTGTCTTTGTCTACGGCACGCTGAAGAAAGGCCAGCCCAACTACAAGCACATGATCAACACGGCCAAGGGGCTAGCGAAATTCCAAGGAAGGGGCCGCACGGTGGAGAAGTACCCGCTGGTGATTGCAGGAAAATACAACATTCCTTACATGCTGAACATCCCGGGAACAGGACACCACGTCGCCGGGGAGATTTACTCGGTTGACGACCAGATGCTGCAGTTCCTGGATGAGTTCGAAGGCTGCCCAGAGATGTACCAGCGTACCCTGATGAGCATCGAGGTGGTGGAGTGGGAAGGGAAGGGCGGCGCGGGGGAGGCGCGGGCGGCTGCCGAGGGTGTCGTGGAGTGCTTCGTGTACAGCACAACGACGTACCCGCCCGAGTGGGTCGGCCTCCCCTACCATGACAATTACGACTCCTCGGGGAAACACGGCCTCTCCTACGTCCTACGTGAGAGCCGGGATTAGAAACAGGAGGTGACGCAGCCCGGCCGAAGACGTAGTGCTAAGCCCGTGTCGATCGGTAACCTTTCCAGGAAAGCTGTAATACCTTTCTATTAAAACACAGGATCTCTTGTAACCTTCCCAACCCAGGAGCCTTGGCGCTAGCGTTGAAGTCCTGTAGGCCCAGAGATGGGGACTCATCCCCAGCTAGTCAGTGTCCTCCTCGCCCCCTCTAACCTGCTGCAAGTAACTGGGTTTGCACGAGGCGTAAAATCACTGTATCTGCACATCAGTTTTTGGGGTCTAGTTGTTTTCTCCATCCTCCCCACCCCACCCCTTTGCCTCAGCGCATGACTGAGGTCAGTGAAAGGCAGAGGAACAGACTAATTTTCTTTTTTCCCTGAATTGACAAATTTTCCTGGGTAGTCCCCCGAGGTGGGCAGCATAATGATGATACTATTGCACTAATAGCTGAAAGTAATTTTTAAAAATTGTGTCTGCAAAGAAAGTAAAGCACAAATCAGGTTTAGTACTGACTTGTAATGGTGTTTAGTAGGTTACTGAATGTAAACAGGGAGAGATGACCATTTAGATACTATGCGCTTGAAGACAAATATTAAATTGCTGGAGAAACAGAGAAAATTTAAAGACTATTCTTACTCTGTGTTGCAGTGTCTTCCTGAACTGGAAAAAAGTATTTTTAAAACATGCTTAGTTTTCTAAGGTACTGTGAAGAAATATTAAAAGAGTATAAGAGAATGACATTTTAAAGCTTATTTTTAATTTAACATTCTAAGCACTTTAGGTACCATTTCATTTCACTGTGTGACTCTGTGACTTCATCCCACAGCGACTGTGGGATTTGGGGGGGAGCCAGGGGGGTGCTGGGGACCAGGACAAGCAAACCCAATTTCAGCTGCCCACCACGCTACCGCAGATGCTGCTGTTGCGAGCACTTACTGTCGAGGTGACTTTTAGCTCAAGCACTTTAACGCAGAATTTGCAACCATATGAAAACTGAATATCCTATTTTGGGATGATTTTATATACACTATAAAAAAATATCCAAAGGACTTGTTTTGTGATTACGGCAACATTTAGACTTGGGGGGGTGGGGGGGAGGAGATGGAAAGAAGACTATTGTCCCCCTGACCCAACCAACTGTGCTGGTTTCTGTACAATCTGGGAAAATCGTGGCTTTCTGTTGTTATACTACTGTGACTTATATTCTCCTTCAACGGCTGTCTTTGGTACGTATAGATTGTACAGTATACAAAGCTGCCAAAGGGATGTGAGCAGGGAATGTATGCCATGCAGTGAGCCAAAGTACGATTAAATGTACTAAGGATACCATTAAGAACAACGTTGTACTTTTGCATCACTGCCAGTAGCTCTGTGATGGCCGGAGGAGAGCTGGGGTAGGGAATCAGCCTGGGGATCCAGGGTAAGGAATCAACCGAAACTTCAGTTGACACTGCTGCATCTCATTTAGAAAAACAGACAGAAAGCTTGTGTTGCTGCAGTAGGCAAATTAAGTATTTTTAAAGTAGAATAGTCCTGCCTTGTCTCTTTACCGTACTTTTTTTTTTTTTTTTTTTTCCTAGTTTAGGGCAACCTGCAGAAGCTGAACTATGCTCCTTTTGGAAGGGGCAAGATGGCATTTTAAGGTTTGCAGGAAGATCTGCAAGGTGTCTGTCTCAGTTTCTCCAACTCCACAAGCATTTATTTTCCTGGAGGGCAGGTACTACCCAAACACTCTCCTTACTCATCTTGATGGGCTTTGTAAACTAATTAACAAAGCAGATCCCTGTACTACGTTATTCCCCCTTGGCTGTGTGATGTAGTTGGCAGCATCTCAACAACATGAAAAACACCTCTTCAAGCAGAAGTTTCAAGCAGAATCGTGAACCTTTCCGGTTGACCATGAGTCACCAGCCCTGTCCCGGACTGATTTTGTCCTCCACCTTCCAGTAAAGGGCCCAGGGCCTCTGGCCAGAGGGGTTTTTCTGGGAAGTAGCATGACTCTGCACATCCTAGGCAAGAAAATGAGAGCAGCCCTCCCACCCTCTCTGGGGCAGTGGTCAAGGCACAGGAGGAAGAGTGACTTAGAAGTACGTGAAAAAAATACCAAACAGCTGTAGGAGGTGAGACCAAAGGCAGGAGTAGCCCAGTGTCCTGGCCCAGCGGTGGGCAGCAGCGGAGGCCTCGGTAGGAGCACAGGGACAGAGATGATGCAGACAGCGTGCAGGGACTGCGGAGGTACCACTGTACCTAGTGAGCTGCAGCTGCTGATTTACTGGATCAGTTAATGGAAGAAGGAGCCTCTGTTAACCACACACTAACACTTTGAACCCAGTCAACTTCTGGTATCCTCACCATCCTGTGGCATTGAGTTCCGGAGTGAGGAGGGAAAAAAAATACATCCTCTCACCTGTTCTGACCAAGTCACCATCCCTCTCACTTCTGTTCAAGTCTCTTCAATCTTCACCCTCTCTGGTTTCCCACGCTGGATACGCAGCTCTTCCAGTAGGATGTAGTTAACGTATTATGACCAGTCCTAGTTATTCACACAATCTGTAGTAAGAACCTCTGCACGACAAAAGATCAGATACTTGGGTCTCCCTTTCCTGTAAGAATTTAGGAGGAGGCTTGGCCTGAGGGACAGCAAGTGCCTCTAGCAACACCTTGGGGCAGCAAAGGGGCTCCAGCTCCTTCTGTAAGGACTTGCATCCAGTAATCAATTGAAAGAAGATAAAGGGTGGGGTGGGGGGAAATCTGAGTATGGAGTCTGAATAAAAGAAGAAAATTCCTTTACAACCGTAAATGAAAGTACATGGGGAAAGTCTGCACTCGCAAAATAAGACCTCTAACCTGTCATTTAGTCTATAAAAAGGTTTCAAAATATTACAGTAAATCCGATCAGAATTTAAGCCATCAGCAGTACTTGTTCAGTGCTTATACAGAGCGTAGGAAAACTGCTCAGTTAACTACTCAGTGGTTAATTTTTCACTCCTACCAACCATTCTGTGCAATTCGGCTGGGGCCTCAAACCCGTGATACTACGGTGGAGAAGATGAATCCGATTTGGGCTTTTGTTTTCTTTTTTTAAAAAAGAGGCTTTTCCTGTTTTAAAGCAAAAATGGTATTTTATTGATTTTATTTGATCCTGAAAAATCAAAGAATTACAAAGGTTATGTACAAGTATTTCTGGAAGTAAAAATCTGGGATCTGTTGCCAAGGTTTAACATCTGTGTTTGCTGTCTTAACCACTGATACAATAAATACGACCGTATAAAATCTTGCACATAGGACTGTCCATCTGCTGTGTTGAATTGCCTTAATTTTGCTTTATGGATGGAAATAATAAAGGCTTAGCTAATTCAACAGTGTGGAGGCAACTTCATTCCAGTTCCACCAGCAGATCTCCTTCTCCAACGGTATCACCAGCTTTGCAGTGCACAGCTTTCACCTACAGCACAGAAACAGAAACAATTTCCAGTCTTCCTCAACAGCAAATAAATTTAAATAACTCAGAAATAAACGGTTAAATAAATGGCTTGGTTGACATTGCATGCACGGGGTAAATGGCCACTATACAACGTCACGACCACCACGGGGATCACAGGCGTATGTATGTTGGAAAGCCCTCGAGAGGTTACCAGCTCGACCTCCAACGCTCAGAGTCCAGCTGAGTTTTGAGTACCTGTGAGGATGGAGACTCCACAACCAGTGGGCAGCCTGCTCCAGCCCTTGACCAAATCATGTCCAACTCCATCAAGGTCTTTAGGCACCTACCACTTGCTGGTTTTCTTACTACTTAGGTGCTTGGAGATCTGAATGTCAGATTGAGATGGCGCTTCTAAAAATTAAAAAGCACTTTTCTTCCACTTGTTAGCACTGCTGTTCATTTACTACTAAATTTTTAAATCTTTTAGATGACAAGCTGACTCTTCAACACTCACACTTGAATGTTTCAATGAACTATTCCAGTTTTCTTGCATTACAGATTTTAAGTATAACTGAATTTTGGGACTGGAGCCATGAAGTGGTTTTCCCTCAATCCCCAGACAGCTAAGATAGATTGATTCACATCTGAATTTGGATCCTTTAACGTAACTGAACTTGGCAAAGGGATACCACTGTCAAATAAATGCAGCTACATCTGTAGATGAATTACATACTCATGTGCAGAATCCTGAATTTTAAAACACAAACATCTTATACTAGTCTCTCATTTCCTCTATAAAAGGCTGTAATGTGTTTGAATTCCCTTTCAGCACATGGAGCTCCAGAAAAGACTTGAAACTGTATATTAAGAATTTGCTTGCAATATTCAGAGGTCACACTGACATGCCAAATCCTAGGTCAAAACCTCATTCAGCAATTACCTCAGTTTAGTCATTCAAACGTTACCTCAGGCTCCTAAAGGAGACCTGCAGCATCCCTGAAATACCAGGCTACTATGGCTACACTATTGCCGACGTCTGAGTTTGAGAGTCTAAAGCCCTGTGAGCTGCGAGCGTCTCTCCAGCTCTGCAGCACAGGCACGTTCGCTGCGTTGCCCCAAAAATAAAGCTGAACACCGTACACAGGCAAAGACATCATGAGAGACACAAAAAAGGGGGTGCCCCAAGAAGGGTGTGGCCAGCAGGTCGAGGGAGGTCATCCTCCCCCTCTACTCTGCCCTGGTGAGGCCACATCTGGAGTACTGTGTCCAGTTCTGGGCTCCCCAGTTCAAGAAGGACAGGGAACTGCTGGAGAGGGCACAGCAAAGGGCAACAAAGATGATTGGGGGACTGGAGCATCTTTCTTATGAGGAAAGGCTGAGGGATTTGGGTCATTTTAGTCTGGAGAAAGGAAGACTGAGGAGGGATCTTATCAATGCTTATAAATACTTAAAGGGAGGGTGCCAGGGGGATGGGAACAGGTTTTTCAGTGGTGCCCAGTGACAGGACAAGAGGTAACAGGCACAAACTTGAACATAGGAAGTTCCATCTAAACATGAGGAGGAACTTCTTTACTTT